GCCGCCTTCGGACGTGGGTGTCAACGCCGAGTTCGTCGCCACAGCAACCACCCGGGGTGCGGGGCCGGCCTGCGCGCTGATTCGGTCAGGTCAGAAATCAACAGATTTTACGGGCGACGCGCGGTGGATTCCTGGGCACGGAGATACCTACCTGTAATTTGTCCTTCATCCTGCTGCCCATTATAAGCATCTAGAGAGCTTTAGGGAACATTGCGATGCTCTACCCAATTCAGGACCAATGGAACCCAGATTCAAGGAGGGCGTGGACACCATGTATTTAAAAACCCCTCCCTAAGCGCTTTTGATGTAGAGAGAGGGGTGACAGTTTTTAGAGAGAACCAGCTTGAGGGAATAGTTGTGAAACTATCCATCTTTAGGAATGAAATGGTAAAAATAGCTAGAGTAGCTACCATTTATTCATCAGTCACTACGTGGGGGGTCACTGTGTGCTGGCATGGTGCCTACGCAGACATGGATGTACTTGATGAAACATTGTTTACCCATTTCACGGTTGGGGAAACTGAAGCTCCGGAGGTTAAGATTGGTCAGTGATGATCCTCGCATGGTACCCAGGTAGGCTGACTTCAGAACTCATCCTCAGCCATGCCATGTGCTGCATTGGGAAATATACCTTCACTTACGGGCCACGTGTCTGTGTGATGAGGACTGGTTATATGTTTGCCTACGGGCCAGCGAGTTTATACACCTGCATTTATATAGTTAGGTATTTTTATCTGGAAAGTTTTGCTTGTTATTAAAGAGGAGAATCACTCGTGAGGCAAGAAAGGCCTATGGGCTACCAGTATTTCCAGGAGTTTCTTGTGAAGAGAAGAGTGAGGGTATCCCAGTAATTCGAAGAAAACCCATTCCGTGGGAGTTTTTTGTTTTGAGAATGGAACACACGTGTAAAGTGGAGGGAAGAGTCCAGAAGATGCAGATATTTTCCAGGGATTTACATGAGCAGCCACGGAAGCCCTTTAGGTTGCCGGGCATGATGTAGTTTTGGTGGTCACATGCTGGCCGTAGCCCAAAGTACGAGGCAGTGTACTGAGTGGCATAAGTTCTGCCGTGAAAATTTTGGAGGAAAACGACTACTTTGGTCTGGAGTACAGTAGCATAGCTTCCATAGCCCCGTTCTCCCTTGGATCTCTTTCACTTGTCTCCTGGTCAGATAAACTCAGTGGGGATATTTAGCTCGGGGGGTAATCCATTTGTTTTGAAAATGTGTTCATTGATATATTTTCCAAGGGTATTCCAAATAAACCCGCAAAAAACACAGATTTCCTGAAAACAGGGTTACAGTTAAAATGTTTTGTATTAAATATGTATTACTAAATGGTACTGTGTCACCAAAAAAAAAAAAAAATCTTGGCGTTCCTACTAACAATTGTCATCTAATATTGTTAGCTGTATGGTAGGCATAGCAGTAGGCATAGTACTTGTCAAGTTGTAGGGATTGGTTTTCGTGTTGCTTGCAAGTTTTGCTGAGGAGAGTTTACAGACACCTACCAAGGCAGGCTTGACATCACCCTCAGTAGTGTCCTGTTGCGGTCTGGCGTGGAAATAGCTCCCCAGCCCGACCTTCTCTCATTCTCATCCCCTTCCCTGTTAACCACCAAGGACACTTCCCTCCAGCATTGCCAAGCCACTGTGGTTCCCTTGCACAGCCCTGCCTAGATGAGTTTCTCTTCTGCAGCGTACCCCCTTCAGGAAATGTCCCCCGGTTTCTTCTCAGAAAACGCTCTATAAATGCCCTCTCTGTGTCACCTCTGTGTGTGGTACACACGTGTCTCACTGCCTGTGTCACAATGTATCCTATTGTTTTTGTTTACAAGTTTGGCACCCCCACGAAATTAAGCTCATGAAAGGTGGGAATGGTGATTATTTACCTCCGTGTGTCACTGACACACAGTAGGCACTTAAGTTGATTGCATCGGCCCGGATTGACTTTGAGTTGCATTATTAGTGTCACCTATCTTCATTCTTAACTGCCCTCACCAGCTCTGCTGCCGTGTACTGGGCTAAAGCACGTCCATGTACAGAGAATACAAAATACTACCAACATGTTTTTATGAAAGGAATAGGAAGGACAGGGCAAAATGTAATCCATTTTTCACTTGTTTCTTAATTTCACTCTCAGTTGACCAGTTGGTCAGCACGACTTTCTTTGGTTACTTGTGTACACGGGGAGAGATGCGCAACATAATCACTTTTCAGTTTATGTAGAAAGAAATGGCACTCCATTGCTGAAGGACATGCTTTTATGTGCCATAGCCGAGCACAGGTGCTTCATCACATCTTATTACGCTGTAACTTTCAGATTTAGTATTATCAGAGGTATTTGCAGAGCAGCACTGTCCCCTAGAGCTTTCTGAGATGATAGAAGAATGATTATAATGATATATTTTTAATGACTTCGAAGTGATAGTCACTAGCCACTTGAGGTGATTGAGCACCTTTAAGTTTGGCTAGTGTTACATAGGAACTGAATTTCTAATCGATTTAAATATAACTAGTCACAAGAGCCTAGTAGCTACTCGATTGAAAGGTGCAATTATAGAGTATTTGACAGGTAAACATTTAGGCTAAGGTATTAAAATCTTGAATCATTTGTGAGGGCTTAACACTATGCTTCCCATTATAAGCTGTTACTGGATGATATTTTGAGGCCTTCATATTATAGAACATTTGTGTGTTCTGTGAGCCTTTCTTGTAGTTCACTGGTCTCCCTTTTTTTTTAGGAGCAGAGTGAAGTGATGATGAGTAATTATTTACAAATACAATGGATTTGAGCCCTTGGTGTATAAAACTAAGTGAAAGTCCCGTGAGCTAACCGATATTTCTCTAAGAGGAATTGTTAAGATTAGGCAGTTTATTAGTCCTGCTGGCTGTTGTTGTATCTCCTAGCGCCTGGTATAGTACCGTACACATTCTGAGTGCTCATAAATATTTGTTGATGGAATGAATGTTCAAATAATTTAACCCCTCTAATTTAGCTTTCCAGGGGTATATTGTGGAGCTGAAGAGGAGGCCAAGGAATTCAGTAACTACACTGAATTTACAGTTCTTCCAAGGAATGCCATCTCCCCAGAGGAATTACTGTTAACTCAGTGACTGATATCTTTCTTGTACGATAAGTATCAGGCATTGTTACATTTCTTTGATGATGGATTGAAAAACAAAGTCACAAGAAGATGTGGTCAGGTCGTAGAGAGTTGGAAGTGTAAATCGAGTTGAGTAGTTAGTTTCTGTTGCCTTGTTCACTCAACCATGAATATTCTTCAGAGAAATAAAATCAGGCACGGAACTATGTTAGTTAGAAAGTTTGGTTTGTAAAAATCAAAGGTAGTAATATATGCTAATGGAGTCTGAAAAGAGGACTGAAATACCTCTTGGAAGGCATGCCATTGAGTA